TGCCCGGCCTCGGCGGAGAGCAGCCCATGGAGCAGGTCAGTGCTGGGTCCCCAGCATCAGCACCACGTGTGTGGTACAGGAGCATCAAATACAGCTCCCTGCGGGTCTGACTTCAGCTTCTCACTGGAGCCGACAAAACTGAAGAGCTTCAGGGTTTCCTGTTCTGCAGCTCAGGCAGGGTGAGAGCTGTGAAAGTGCCTCTGGGCATGAGTGGGGAAATTCCTTATTTCTTTCACAAACAGCCTGTGTATCACAGCAGAGGGTTGGTTTCCTCATCTGTGCTTTTTATATCTGGTTGTCACTTCCCTCTTCTGAGAATGGAAATGAAACCTGAATGTCTTAAAAAGCGAGTTCTTGGACAGGCTGTACTTGGGTCTCTTCTGGCTGGCTCTGCACTTGTGTTTACAGTACAGGTTGCTTCCCACAGTGCATGGGTGTGCAAATAGAGGGATTTGCAAACAGGAGACAGGAGAATAAGAGTGGATTTGTGTTGCTCAGTCAGGTGCTAGAAGTGATAAAGTGGCTGGAATGGGAGGATCACTGACTGATTCACCTTTCAGGTGCTGGAGGACCCTGATGAGCTGGCAGTGCTGGAAGAGATCCAACAAGAACTGATCTTGCAAGGTAAGATCTTTACACATCTTCTGACTCCTGTTTGATGTGTAACTTCCTGGTAGTGCAGAAGACCTGAGGCTGCACTCCTTGGTTCTTGCAAACCACGTGATACAGGGCAAGAGCCTCCTTAAAAATCTTGTTGAGGTATTGAGAGCTCTTCTCAGAGTTTTAAGAGTTTAAGTGGCATTTTAAGGTCTGTGAGAGAGGCCAGAGAAACAGGACTGAGATCTGTTAGCTCTAGGAACCTTTATAAATCAATTCAGGATGTTTCTGAAGTGCTGATCAGAAAGTAGAAAGACCCATGTGAGACAAGCTGAGCCACAGAGAAAAACAGATTATCAGGAATGATTTCACCAAGCATAGAAATCTGACTCAAAGGAATAAAAGCTCTTAGAAACTTGTATCCAGCCCAGCCTGCATCAGCCCCAGCAGGCCCTGAGGGTGCTGTGCTGTGTTGTTGCAGAGCAGTTGGTGATTGAGGAGTACGAGCGGAGCCTGCGCTTTGATGAGGAATGTCTCAACGCCATGCTGGACGGCCTGGATGCCTCTGACAGGGTCATCTGCCCTGTATGTAGGAAGTAAGAAAGCCTTTGGCATTGGAATCAGATTCCTCACTCTCCTGCAGCAGTCTGGGCTTAGAAATGTGCAGAGAGAGGCTGCTGCTCATTTCAACAAAATAAAAATGCCTGAGCAATTATCTAACTCTAATGGGGGGGATGTTGGGTTGGTTTTGGGGTTTTTCTTGCTGAAATCTTCTCTTGTTCCTGGTGTCATGATGCTGATTGTTTGCTCTTCCCAGGAATAACCTGACTGTGAAGGCTCACTTGGTTTGTTGCCAGTGTGGATTGTACATCAGCACACAGGTAAGCTGCACTGTGACACCTGTGTGGCATCCCTGCTGCTGCAGAGGCAGCTTTAAGCTACAGACAGGAACTCCAGCTGACTTTTAATGAATTATTCTCAGGATATGACAGAGGGAAAGCTTCGGTCCCTGCTGGAAAGCACCTTGACAGAGCACAGTCAGAGGTGCCTGCACAGCCCCGAGTTCACAGTCACCAGTGGCATGGAGGAGGAAGCCAGTCTGCTGATGAGCTGCCCTGTGAGTGCAAATGTCAGGTTCCTGGAAGGGATCCCTGCTTGGATCCATGGCTCAATTACATAGTCAGAAACCACAAGTCTGTTGATCCCTGGGTTTGTGTGGCTTTTTTCACCAAACTCCTTGGAAATGGCTTTACCTTTGACCACCAGTCACCATAAAAGAGAGGTTCCAAAGTACACACCTTTAACTGCTGGATTAGGGAATCTTTCAAGGATCTGTCAAATTTAGTGCCCTAACTTTAGCCAACAACTTCTAAGTCTTGTGTGCACCATCTGATCAGATCAGGGGTTCATGAAGAAAAGTTTTAAAAGATACTTGTTTAAACCTCCTGAAAAACTTCCTCCGGGTGTCTCAGAGAATACACAGCAGCCCTTTGGCTCCAGCTAGAGCTGGTGCTTGCTTTGCTATGTAAAACCAGTGAGGACAGTGGTAGGGGCAGAGCATTTCAAATAGAGCCATGTTGGAAAAGACCTCTAAGATCAAGTCCTACCATTCCCTCAGCACTGGCAAGGCCACAACTGACCCATGTCCCCAAGTGCCACATCTAGATGTCTTTTAAATCTCTCCAGGGATGGTGACTCCTCCACTTCCCAGGGCAGCCTCTGCCAGTGCTCAACAACTCTTTTGTGAATTTTTTCCCCCCAGTCAAGAATTTTTCCTGTTCAAATAGTTTTGAACTTTATACATTAACACAGTTCTCTGTTCAATTTTTTTTGTGAAGGTCTGTGACTCCTGGATGATTCTCCTCTAACATGATTGAGCTGCTGCTTTACTTCTGGAAGACTTCAATACTAAACTTCACCCAGAGCTGCTAGGACTCTTTTGTACATATTTCTAACTGCTGTGTCAAAAAGACACTCCAAAAGGCACAGTATTGCCTTGACCTGCACTTTTAACCACACAGGACATGTTTTGAAATAAATATATTTAGTTTATTTTGGCTTTGGGGTTGTCTTTAATACTACATCAGTGATCTCATAGCTCGTGTTGGACTTCAGCTTTGAGTTTCAATGAACCTTAAATAAATTAACTAACTTAAATAAACTTAAAACCTTCAAACAGCAATTGGAGGCACCAATTTAAGTAGAAGTGCTCAACTATCACTGCCACAACTACTGTGAGCAGCTCTGGCAAAGAAACTCTGCCATCACTCTCATGGCAGCTCTGGTACAGCAAGAAGAAGAGAAACCACCCTTTTCAGTGATATGTTGAACAGTTTTTATTCTTCACATTCACTCTTAATTGTACAAAAAGCCCCATGCAGGGCGAGGCAACTCCGGCCTGTAGCACTGGAGAACTTGATTGGGGCTGCACCATCACTACAACTCCCCAACTCCAAGTGAGAATCCTCCTTCTCCGCCTTCCTTACTTACTCTCTGTATCCACTGTGAAGATTTATTTGGGTATTGCTGGATGAAGCAGCACTGTGGAATACCCACGCTTGAGGCTGAGTTTCCCAGCCTGACCTACTGACATTTGACAAAGCTTTTAAGGTCTTCAAGGAATTTGATGTACTCCTGGTGCTCCAGGGCAGTGCTGAGCTCTATTAACTCATCAGCAAAGGTGTTGTCCACTCCTCTGTCAGCCAGGAAATCCATCAGGTGATCGTAGAGAGCCTGGAGCAGGAACAGAAAACCTTCTTAGTGGAACACACCTAGGCAGGGGTGCATTAAAATGTCCCCTGACAACTGGCACTTCTCCCAGGAAAATCAGGCCCAGCTCCCACTGATGCTTTGATTTTTAGCATTTTTATTTCCCAGATTCTGCACTGCATTGGTGTTAAACTCTGAATTTCATATAAATTGTCAGCAAGTTCTCCTCACAGCTCAGTCACACAAAACAATCCTTTTCCAGCCCAGAACCAAGGACACCCCTGCAGCTTCAGGCCCAAAAAGTGCAAACAGGGAATTGAGGAGTGCAAACTGGGAGGGTGGGACTGCATAACCTAGAGTGAAATTGGGACAATGAACCCCAATATGGAAATGGAAAGTTTATAAAGCTTATAAAAGTGTGAAAACCCATGACTCATCAACCATCTTGGCTGCAGCCCTGGCTGGGCTCTTGTACTGCCCAAAGGTGTATCCTTTAAGGCATTTTAATAAATCCTATTTTATTCCTATAACACTGCCTAGCCCCTGTTCCAGGCAGCCTCTCAAGGCACCGCCCCAGGAGGGCAGGCCTGACTTTGGATGGAATATTTGGACAGAAAGGGCCATGGAACACTTAATAAAAACCCAAACCCAACACCACAAATGAGCTGCACCCTGGAGATGATCCCCAGACTGTGGAGTCATCAGGGGAAGGGTCAAGGATGACACAGGCCAAGCTCTGCCTGTCCCTCTACCCAGGAGTGAGCTAACACTTTGGAAAGGGATCTGATGTACAGGTTTCTTTGAAAGGCTTAAATGTTACAGTCATGAACTTGGCTTTTTCCTTTTCATATCTATTTTAAGTTAATTTAATGTCATAGGGGAAAAATAGAATAATCAGTGTGGGATGGTCTACAGCACACTGAGCAATTTTAACATGAATGCTCCTCAAGGGGATACACTCTAGCACTTCTACTTTCACTTTTAAACATGACAGCCTCAAGCTAAAAATTGTAGCTTTTTAAATCCTGGTATTGAGAACATAAGAACACCCAGATTCTAGTGTGTATTTTTAGTGTTACAAGTCTAAGAACACACCTGGAAAAGCAGGACACAATGTATTTTTTCAGATACCACACACAGATGCTTTTACCCACGCATGGTGTCTCATAAGCCACATTGTTAAACACACAGATCAAAATATGTTTAACAAGTGTCAAAGCATTTCCAGAATGAGATTCCCTGCTGAGAAATCCACCTATAAAATCTGGAAAGGAAGAAGATCCCCCTGTCTGTCCTGATTCCTGGTAATGCCACCAGCAGTGCACAACCCTGGGATCATGAGACACCCTCAGTCTGCAGCAGAAGCACCAGCTCAGGGGCAGAGCAAGGCCAGCCCCTGTCTCAGATACCCTGACAGGTTTAATTCCCAGCCCAGGAGCAGAGGGACAGCCAGTGAGGTGAGCTGAGAGCTCTCTGTGGCCTTTAGCAGCACCTACCCAGTCCAGGGAATCCGTGTTGAGGGTGTAGTTGGTGTCCTTCCAGTCAGCTTCTCCAGTGGGCTGGAAGCTGACCTCCCGAATTGTGAAAATGTCACTTTCTTCCTCTCCTTCATGTCCAATCTGAGGCAGGAAAACAAATGCAAGGCATGCAATTAGCTGCAATTAGTGGGCACACTCAGCCTGCTCATCCCCAGGCTGGGAATAGCTCAGGAAAAGCCCCAAGGCCAGAGAAGCTGTCCCTCTCCCCTCTGAGGACAAGCACAGACATGCACAGAACTCAGGAAATCCTCTAAGCTTGTGCTGCCATATAAATCAGCAGCCTGAATTTTACAAATACAAAAAAAAACAACTTCTGTGTGGTTCTGAATGTCTTCCCATGTCTGTCTCATCTCTGTCAGCCAAGACTGGCTGTTAAACATCTCCTAACATTTACAAAATAAACCACAAATACCAGTGTGAGTAAAAGCTCTCAATTTATTTTCTCCCCTCCTTTTTTAATCCCCATTTCTCTACTGTGATTCAATAAAGAGCCCAGTAAGCAGCTGATCAGAAACACCAGGGCAGGATGTGAGGAATGCCATAAACATTTCCTCCCCACTGTTCTTGCCAACATAATGTCCTTTTTTTTTTTGTGATTAAGAAAAATAAATAAGAAGAGACTGGATATTGTGCTGATTCAGAAAAGCAAGAGATTGCAAAGAGCAGTTAAATCCAAGAGGGGCACAGTGATACTCACCTCATCTTCAGGGAAATGGCAGTCTAGCACAAGGGTCTGTTTTGTATCATCTTTTATTACTTCCACTACAAAGTTTGGAGTTGATGTAAGTTCAGGCTAAATAAGAGAACAGTTGCATCAGCACTGGAATCTGAACAGGAGCCAAAGCAACCACAGCACAGCCCAGCCAGCACTGGGTATTCCCTGACACCTTCCACTATCCCAGGATGATCCAAGCCCCATCCAGCCTAACCCTGGACACTTCCAGAGCCTTCCCACCCTCACAGGGAACAATCCCTCACAATACCTAATTTAGCCCCACTCCCTGTCAGTTAAAAGCCATCCCCCCCTCAATCTGTCACTCCATTCCTCTGTACAAAGCTTCCCTCTCCCATTCTCCTGTAGACCCTTTTGGAAGGTGCTAGAAAATCTCAGAATTCCTCTAATTTCTCCTTATCTCCGCCTTTCTGCAGGGGACATGAAGGTTACAGCCAGGGGACAGGCAGCCCTGGAAAATCTGCATTTTGTGACTTAATGCTCCCAAATATCACATAAGGGGGAGAAAAGCCAAAGCCTCAACACTTGAGGACAAGGCTCCATTTTTCATCTGTGTCCCCAGCATTAAATGCACATCAAGGCTAAGTCACCTCCTGCTCATCAGGTTTCTGCTGCTCCTGTGTGTCGTCTTCAGTCGAGGGTGGGATGCTGTTATTGATGTTGAATGTAACCGTTATCCTGCACAAGAAACAGAAACAATTCTTTTGAACACACCCCCAAAATGCCCATCAGAACGAGTCTTTTAAGCTCTGTTCAGGATTCACAGTCTGTGAACAAAAGCAGGCACTGCAGTTAAAAGCCACACCTGGGAGAAGCTGCTCCCTCCAAGTGCTCTCACCTTTTAAAGTTTTACCGAACTGTTATTTTTCAAACAACAAGGCCACGTGAAACTTTGTAACACAAAACACAGTAACAAAAAGGCGTGAAAAAAGTGCCTTTGGCCCAAAGCGGCCACACAAAGGCGCAGTCTGGGCTGTGAGCACATGGAGGAGCCCGGTCACTGTGACCCAACCACCCACCCTCGGGGGCTGGGGACCCTTCCCACGCCCCACTCACTTTTCCCCCGCGATCTTCCGCACCAGCTTGGCCTCCGTGCCGTGCACCTCGAGCTCCCACCCCCCGGAGACCTTGGGCAGAGATTTGTGCTTCTGGATCTTCTTCTCCTCCTGGATCTCGTCCGTCAGGAACTGCGCAAAGGCTTTGTCTCCTGGGGGGAAAGAAAACGGGGTTAGGGAAAGGGAGGGATGAAGGAAAGGGGTGGGGGGAGAGTTCAGGGAAAGGGGTGTTGGGAAAAGGGGTTAGGGAATGGATAGTTAGGGAAAGGGGAGGTGTAGGGAAAGGGAGGGTAAGGAAAGAGGGGAGTAAGAAAAGGGAGGGTTAAGGAAAAGGGGAGTGGGGTTAAGGGAAGGGCGGGTAGGAAAAGGGGGTTTGGGAAAATGGGGGTTTGAACATAAAAAAAGGGGTTAGGGAAAGGGAGATTGGGGAAAAGGGAGTTGTGAAAAAGGAGGTCAGGAAAGGGGGAGTAGGGGAAAAAGAGGTAGCGAAGGGGGTGAAGAGGAAAAGGGGACATAGAGGAAAAGGGGGCATAGGCGATGACAGAATTTAGGGAAAGCACAGAATTTAGGGAAATAGGTGGTTTAGGAAAAAGGGGGCTTAAGGAAAGAGGGGGGATTAGGGAAAGAGAGGGCAGTAGGAAAGCCCTCCCCGCCCCACGTGCTTCCCAGCACGGAGCGGGTGCAG